TAAATATCGAGTTTATGTTTTGAACGGAGAAATATGAATACGACCATGTGTTGTCCGGATTTTTTATCCGGACAGAAGTGTTGGAATTCTCTTAAGTGTTAAATCGGACAGGCCTTGGGTGATGTTTTGTCCGGATGTGGTAAATCGGCCAAGACTTGACCGGAGATGAAGTCCGGCCAAGTCTATATTGACCGGTTTCGTATTATGACTTGTGCATGGTTTGTATATAATTGTTTATATATATATATATATATATATATATATATGATGAGAATTTTGATAAAGATGATTTTGAACTGATAAATCCATTGACTGCGGTCTAAATGGAATTGTTTGTGAAATGTTTTTGATGAGGAAATAAGGGTGGCATATCAAGGAGAGGTGTACCATGAAATAAGGGTGACATATCAAAGAGAGGTGTATCATGGGATAAGGGTGGCATATCAAGGAGACGTGTACATTTGGATATAAGGGTGACAATTGTATGGGTGTGTTATATAATATAACTCTTACTATCATATCTCTTAAAGATTATTGTGGTCTGGAATCTTTATTTCTTTGTGATTTAAAGATTTAGGATCAGAGTTCTTATTGGAAATTTTAGTATGAATATTATAAAGAACGGGATAACAGGTTTGGCTTGAAACTTTATATAAACCTGTTTAGAGTTGATATATTATTTATTAGCTTGGAAGATGAATGGTATTAATATTGTGTTCTTACTTGTTCATATATTTGTTATATATATATATATGAAAAGTTATTTTGTACAAAGTTTTGGTGATTTTCACACTGCAATAACATAAATAGGGTAACTCACTAGACCTTTCGGTCTAACCCTCATTTTGTGATTTTAAATATGTAGTGCAGGAGGTACGGACGGTAAGGGAAATGAGAAAATATGATATTTTTCTATATGCATTAAGATTTGTCTATGATGTATAGTTTTGATTGATGAACGTTAATTAGTACAAGAAATGTATTTTGAATTTTTTGGTCATGTTTTATGTATGGTAAATTCTTGTATTAAGGGACCAGAAAGTGGTATATAAACATGTATTTCTTCCGTATGAAGTATGTGTTACATGCAATATATGGTATGGGGTGTTACAGTAATATTAATGACAATCATATCATGTATATCGTAATATTAATGAAACAAATCATTTGTAAAATAATATATTAATTTTATGTTCAAATATTATAAAAAATAATATTCATCATTAAAATAGATCAATAATAAAAATAAAACACACTATAATCAATCTAACATAATGCAACATTTTGAATAATAATAATAACAAAATTTACTACTATATTTCATGAACGAAATGGTTTCATAGTTTTATCAATACACAAATCAACGTAATGCTAGATGAGACATTTGTCATTTTCAAGATTCTGGTATATGGATCCGTTTCAATCTAATTATGAAATGGTTTCACTGTTTGCTAATTAAACAACATGTTCTTAACAATTATGAAATGGTTTCTCTGTCGTTATGCACCCATTTCATAAAGTTTTTGCAATCCGAACACGTTTCATAGTTTCATCAATACACAAATCAACGTAATGTTAGATGAGACATTTGTCATTTTTATGTTATTGGTAGATGGATCAATTTCAATATAATTATGAAATTGTTTCACTGTTCACTAATTACACAACATTTTCTTAACAATTATGAAATGATATCACTTTCGTTATGCACCCATTTCATCGACAAAGTTTTTGCAATCCGAAAACGTTTCATAGCGTCAATGCATTTACCAATACAGGCTTTGTTAACCATTAAGTGAATAAAATCATCCAAAAAAATGAAACAATTTCATCAATAATTGTTGCTAAGCAAACAAGATTATCCAAAAATATTATATTACGCAACCAGTTCTTTCTCAAAAGTTTCATAAAACAAGCTTCTCAATGAACGTTTTCACGAAACAATCTACATATGTTTCATTATATTATTTTCCATTTTTTCATTAAATTAGTGCCCTTTTTTGTAATATAGCATATTATGTATCCTATTAAATTATACAACGATTTAATGAATTTTTTTTGCTATCTAAACATGAATTTGTTTCACTAATATTTTTATTTTTACCGGTTCATAAATCTCTGTGAATATCTGTTATTGATTTTGTAGATCAATGAATATAAGTTTTTGATCTTCATATTCTTACTATGTATAAACCTATAAGACAAATAAACATATTTAATTTTTAAAATACTAAATTAAATAAACATTTAAATATTACCATTTCTAACATTTTCTTTATTACGTTTCCTCAATTAAGATATCTTAATAACTTGCATATTTAATCAAAAACAATGTAAATGACAATTCAACCCTTAATGATTAAATTTAATTAAAAAAATGGATTTTTCTTATTGGTCGAAATCGGTTTACATGGTTTCTAAGAATTAGGCAGTTTTCAGCGGATCCCGCCTCTCTCTCTCTCTCTCTCTCTCTCTCTATATATATATATATATATATATCATATAGTATATTATTTAATAAAAGTTTAAGAAAAACCACACGGACGAAAAAAGCAGTTTTTAAGACCAAGGTCGAAAATCGTCATAAACATCAAACTACAGGAACGAAAAAAGCAGTTTTTAAGACCAAGGGCGAAAATCGTTATAAACATCAAACGACAGGGACGAAAATCATACTATACTCTATTTTTTAAGATTCACATATGAATCTTAAACTGATTCAGAATCTCGCGTATAGCTGTAAATTGACTCACATATAAGTTATAATTAAGGTTCACAGATGAATCTATATTATGATTCATGTATTCACATATGAATCTTAAACTGATTCAGGATATCAACTATAAATTTTAAATTGATTCACATGTGAACTTGTGCTAGGATTCACATGTTCTCATATAAACCAATGAAAAACATCGATGATCGTGTAACGTGTGAAATTTAGGCAAATGAGATTTAATTTGATTTATAAATGGTATAATCACCAATGATTTCAATAAATTGGATAAAAATTCGATGATTATTAATATCCAAAAAAATGTTATAGCAAAAGTTGGAAATAAATTATGATATTTGTTTTTTATTCTATATTATATTAATTAGACATGAAATAGAAATTTTAAATTAACGGTTGAGATTCATTCTTATATTTTTTGGTCTTCTCATTTGAACCTATAAATAAATATATATATATATATATATATATGTGTGTGTGTGTGTGTGTGTGAATAATATATAAAATAAATACATTTTTTTTACAGAAATGAAATATAAGACTAAAATGGCACAAAAAAACCCGACTTAACTGAATTTTTTAACGTAGTAAGGGGGACAAAAACAACAATGAGATGCAAACTATAAGAAAGATCAACATAATTTCAAAAACACATGAACGGACGTAGAAATTTTTTATAAACCACAAGAACGAAAAACGTAGTTTACTCTGAATATTTTATTAAAAGAAAATAAATTTAAAGTAAAACTACAAAAATTACATAAAAAGTAAAAACTCAAGATCTTTGTGACTTAGAATCCTTTATTATATTGTATTTAGACCCAATTTAAAAAAAATAAATAGAATAAGCTACAAATTTGGTTGTAGTGGTTCGTTGAAAATAACACTTTACATCCGTACAGTATTGAAATTATAAGATAGTCATCATAATTTTAAAAGACATCCGGATTCGGTTTCTCCCTTTAATAATGTTAAAAAAAATCCAGTTATATGAAAGACATTTTGGTTATTTTATCGGTTTTTTGTCTATCACTCAATCAAAGTCGATTTTATGATTTTGGTTCTTGTGATTTTTGATTAGGTAAAGACAAAAATTCAATAAGAGAGAAAATGCCCTCATTTAATGGAATTTTTTAACGATCATTAAAGGGAGGGACCAAATGTAGATGTTTTTGCAAATGAAAATGACCATCTTATAATTACAAATAAAATACAATTTTGGTCCATGTGGTTTACACCCAACTATGAAACTTGTCCCTAGACTTCAATAAGTACAGTTAGTGTCCCAGTAGTTTATACTTTGTTTTGGAAATGATCCTTTAAACTTAACGCCATTAAAGAGACATAGTTAAGTGAGAGGTATTTTCGTCTTTTCACACCTTTTTTTTTGTCTTTTTCTTGTTTTGTCCTTTTCTAGTCTCTTACACCAACCTTGTCTGTGTGATTCTCCCCGTCTATCCCTCTCCAAACTCTCCTTTTCGGCATGATTTTTCCGGGCCCCCATCCCTAGTCACTACACTTATTCTAACCGATTCAACTAGTAACAACTCGTCCCACATGAATAGCAAATGGTATTTGTGAGTCTTATATGTGGGTTACCAATAGCTTCCACCATGATTTTAAGTTGAACCCGAAGTTATTAGGCAAGTCCATTGCTTTGGGCTTGTTGGTGTTACAAAGGTTATAACAATTTCATAGTTTCTCAAAAGGTCCCCATATATGTATAAGGCTCATCAATGCAACCCTCTTAAATGATACAACCAACTGCAACTTAATCAACACCAGACACTTAAACAACCAACAGTTGAGGACAAATGTGATTGATCTACGATTATGACTAAATTTCATTAGGTTATATCGGTCTCACATTCGAAAATGTTACATTTGATTTGCGTTATATATATCTATAATATTTTGTAATTTATTTGAAGGAAAAATAAAGAAGTAAAAAGGACGAAAATGTCCTTCAACAAACGGATTTAGACATAGGGACCATTTCTAAAGTTAAATGTAAACCATAAGGACGCTAACCGTACTTATCGTAGTTGAGTGTAAACCACAAAGACCAAAATTGTAATTTACTTTATAATTTTAAAACAGAGGAAGGAAAAGTAAACGACAGTGATAAAAGGGGTAGGTTGCTCTAAATAAAATAATGATAATAATAAAGTGGAAATACTCTGATCCAGAAATTAGACCCTCATTCAACAGGTACATGAAATTGACCTATTGACCTGGACGACGAAAAAGGCATAAGGTACAATGGTTTTGGCTGTCATGGTGGATCATGTCAACAATTTTTATTTGATTGTCTACTTTTCAACCTTCGAGCTTCCTCTGGTTCGTTAATGGTGTTACATACAACATGGGTCTTCTCTGCTCCCGATTACGTGCTTGCCTGAGATGTGGAAGAACAACCTCTGCCGCCGGTGAGCTGGAAGATGCTGACGATGATCGTCATCAATCATGGGATTTGTTTTTCGATCTTCCAACTCTTCAAGCTGCCACCAATTTCTTCTCTGAGTCCAACGAACTCGGTCATGGCGGGTTTGGTCCTGTTTACAAGGTAATTTCATTCTGCATTTACCTTCTAATTTTGTGATATAACCGTGTTCTCCCGCGGTTCCCCAAAATCCACTTGTCGTTGTAATAGAAGAGAAGGTGGAGGTGGCCAACGGGATAGTGGCGATGGACGGTGGTGGTAGGTGGCCGATGGTGGTTGGGGAGGTGGTGATAGACGGTGGTAGTTGATTGTCGCTGTATATCAAACGAGGGTGGGTTAGTAATATTTTAGTTTCTGTTTCATTCATTGTCGCTTTTTGTTCCACCTATTTAGGTGGAACAAGAAAAAAGCCTTTTCTGTCTCACGCTGTCCCGCTTTGTCGCAGTTCATTCCGTGTTCAGCGTCGCAACAAACATGAGCCAGCGAGTTCTTGTCCTATCTAATGTCGCACCAAACACAGCCTAAACAATGTCTTTTTTTATAGTTTTATTACTCCATTCGAAAATCTATTTTACGATATACCTCCCCCCTATGCGCTGTGATAATGATTCATCTGGCATTACGACCTTTAAAGAAATTCCAAGGTCGAACTATCAAAATAGAATGAGCTAGAAATCCGAGCTCTAAATGATTATGATACTTGGGTAGGTCATCGATTCAACGTCGGCTAAAAAGGGGGATAAAATCCCCAATATTTTTCTCTTATGTTGTTGATACATTTGACTTCAATTTTGATATTGGAATGAAACTATTCGCCTTCTAATTTTGTGATATTAATCGTTTCCCCTTCCGTTCCCCGAAATTCACTTGTGAATTTGAAAGCTCTGAAGTTTTTTAGTTTCATTATGGTGGTGTTTAGCACCTTTCACCCGATTTAGTCCATGATGCATATGCTAAGTGCATCTGATAAAGGAACCGAGCAATTTAAGACAACTTGTCCGATCCCGTCCTGTCCTAATCATACCAAACACCAGATACATAACTAATCCAGTCCAGTCCCATCTGAGTACCCTTTGGGCACATGAATCAAACATACCACCTCATGCCACATTGGACACATGGCCCATAGGGATGAACCTCTAAGTGGACTCCTTGACGTGCCTATTCTTATACCCTTTTTAGTCTAATGCAGTTATCAGTCATTCCTACATGGAGAGATTTCTTGTTAATTTGATATTAAAATGCAACTTGTTTGACACTCAGAAGTCATGTTGAACTAGTTACAAATCCTTTTCTTGTTCTTGAAGGGTTTGCTGCCTAACGGTCAAGAAGTAGCGATCAAGAAGCTATCGCTTACTTCACGACAAGGAGTTCGGGAATTCACGAATGAGGTGAAATTGTTACTCAAAATTCAGCACAGGAACTTGGTCATGTTATTAGGATGCTGCGTAGATGGACCTGAAAAGATGCTTGTATACGAGTATCTACCAAATAAGAGCCTTGATTACATTCTTTTCGGTAATTTCTATACGAAACAATCAGTTAAGCATCTGTATAAGCTTGTATCGTAGGTTTTAAACTTGAACGGTTACCATTTTCTCTCCAGATAAAGAAAAGTCTCGATCGTTGCATTGGACGCAAAGATTTCAAATCATCATTGGTGTCTTGAGAGGTCTTCTCTACCTCCATGAAGAAGCCCCAATAAGGATCATTCATAGAGACATTAAAGCAAGCAATATTTTGTTGGATGAGAAACTAAATCCGAAAATCTCGGACTTTGGTTTGGCAAGACTTTTTCCGGGTGACGATACACATCTGAATACGTTACGGATTTCGGGTACGCAGTAAGTATCTTTTGAAACTTGATTGAAAAGTATTTACATCATCAAACCGTAAGAGCATCTCCACCAGATTCTTTATAATTTCTCCAAAATAAGAAGCATAGGTAAAAAATTCCAAAAGAATTCCAAAGTTGGAAATCTTTATCACCTCTCTCTTACTTTCTTGATTTTGGAGAGTCAGTCGGATATGCTCTAAATTTTCTTTATTTTGCTTGTAGTGGATATATGGCTCCGGAGTATGCAATCCATGGATATTTATCGGTGAAAGCGGATGTGTTCAGTTTTGGAATTCTAGTGTTGGAGATCGTTAGCGGCCGAAGAGTTACAGAGCGGCATCTTGATTCCGAGAAGTCAGATCTCTTGACCTATGTAAGTTGATCTTAAAGAAACCACCCATGGTTATTGCATCTTGATTCCTTCTCTCTCGGGGCTCCTTGGCTTTTTCTGGTGGATGTGGTTCGCCCCCACCCGAGTGCGTATTTGCCTTGCGTTTTTGGGTTTTTTTCTTGATCTGGAGGGGTCTCCCCCCTCCTTATCAAAAATAAAAAAGAGATACATGCTGACTTTTTGAAGGTCAAACTTACCATCTTTCATGCTGACAGTTGGGATTTAGTGAGTTTTGTGTTATATTTAAAAGAAGAGAAATTGTTATGGAATGAAAGGAGTATTTGGTAAATTGTTGCTGATTTGTTACAGACATGGAACCTATTCCAAACAGGGAAGCAGTTGGAGCTCGTAGATGAAAGCCTTGATGCATGTAACCCTAGTGAAGCAGCAATGTGCATACAACTAGGGTTGTTATGTTGTCAAGCTACGGTTTCTGATAGGCCCGATATGAACGCTCTTCATCTTATGCTGTCAAATGACTCTTTTACCCTTCCCAAACCGGGAAGGCCCGGGCTTCAAGGGCGTGGAGGACCTTGGACCACCACCACCTCACCCGCACTTACGACCACTAATGCCACTACTACGCTCACTAATCATACGAAACAATCCATTTCTAGTTCTGTAGATTATTCAAGAAATTCTATATCGGTTTCATCTATGAATGAAGGTCGATAAGCCTCTGTTCCGTGTCATCGTACTGAGGCTATATATTTTTTCATTCGATTACCGTTCCAACATAAATGTAGGATTTTAATTTGTATTATGATTTATTGTGTGAATATTATTGGTTTTTATTTGGGTATTCTTTTATTTATTTGGGCCCATGTTGTACAAATTTACATTTCTAATGGGTTGAATCATGAATGAATGAGCAGCAAGGATTCCTTGCTTTTTCTTTTACATTTATTAATAAATAAATGAGATTTATATTTGTTATTTAATAAATTCTTGAAAAGAAAAGAAATTAGATACATATTAAGCCATATTTTTCGTGCTACTTTTTTAAAACGTTATTTAAAGTAGCATTTCAATAATCTCGATGAGTTTTTTTGCCACTTTATTTCAGTAATTGCGCCCCCACCCCTCCTGACGTCCCTGGATCATCTAAAGAAAAATAATCCATTTTACCTGACAACGTCAACCTTTTGAGCTATTATCCAACTCATGCATCTTGTTCTTTTTTTCCATCACTATCCGGTTAACTAGCAAGGAAGGAGGCTACTTAGGGAACAGATAATTGAGCGATTTTATGATTGTATGGATAATATAAGGAAGATCATTTTGCACATTAATGTAAATTAATTTGAACAACTTGTCCTAGAGGATTTTTATTTCTTTTTGGATTTGGAACTGAGACCACCAGACACTTTTGACCTTTGGAGCCCAAACTCAAACCAACTGGACACCATCCTTACGGTTAACTTCCAAAACCCACTTTTACAAATTTAGTACTAACATTGTGTAAAGTTTTGTCTAACTCTCTTTTCACTTTTCAACAATAAGATGCAAAAACACCCTTAAACTCAAGGGGTCAAGAGAGAGTAGGAAGACAACAACGATCATGTGACAAGGTTGGTGTATTAGCATGGAGGATTTAAGGATGATGGGGAGGGAGAAGGCTATAGGCCATGACCAGATCGTGATCGCACGAGTGCAGACGTGTATTGGCTATTTATTAGAAGTGTAGGCTGGACGCTTAGTGGTAGTTGTGCTAAACAAGAACAAATTAAGGTTGATGCGTAGAGTTGTGGTAACTATCGCGGTATATATGAAGTTAGTTAGACTCTGTTGAATAATTTTAATATTAGTCAAAATCCACAATTCAATAAAATTATAATCGTTATTGACATAAAATGAAGTTATTTATAAAGATAGAAACTTTATTAATAAAGATCAAAGCTTTATTGATAAAATAGAAAAATTAACAAGAGGACTAAAATTATTGATCAAGATGAAACTTTGAATATTCGGGAAGGTAGTTCTCCAATCAAAATTCACATCACACTAATTGAACATATCCTTCACGATAGATACAATTCACGATAGATACAACTGATAGAGGGTTTTACATTCTCCCTGAATTTAACCGCAAGTGTATGGTGTCAAATAAAATAATACGTATGGAAGCACGAGTATTGAACCAAAGGAACTAGGTACTGAATAACACAATGACTATAATTACTACTAACTGGACAATCAAATTTGGATGATTTGTTTGAATAATATTTACCTAATTAAACTAAAGAAGATCTTGAATAATTCTAGAAAACGAAATGTTGGAAACTTTATCAGGAGAAAAACAGTTGGAAGTTGCAGTTCTAATAGTTTCCAATTTGAACACTTCAATTGTAATAATTATCAAATAATTCCAATTAATGAATACACAATCTCAAAGTCTTCTACTACCCTCTCTCTTTTGTTATAGTAGATTTATTTCTAGAAAAACGAGGTTTTATCTCTCGACCTCAACACACGAATTCATAAATTCATTAAGAACAAAATTATAAAATGGTACTAAGGTTTAATTGGTATATATGCATCCAAGTTCTTACCTTAGGCCTATGAATCATAAATCTAATTACAAGTTATTTCTATCGAAACTAACTTATAACAACTAAATCAATTGAAAGTTGATGAGACCCACAATAGCATTAAACACAAAAATCATATGCTTCATTAATTGAAAAACCTAATAAAACTCACAACTTTACGTGTTCATGTGCTTATAAACCAAAAGTAATCCAACCTCCAACATCTAAAGATTAGTTCATGTTGGGAGTGGTAGAAAACAAAGCAACAAAGGAAGAAATCATAAGTTTATACCTACTTCACGGGATAATCTCAATATGCTCGAGTCCTAGGTTCTTACATAATACAACCCATGCAATAGGAAGTTATGTACAATGAAAATCAAGTCATATCTGTAATATTCAGTTTAAGTATTTTAAGAGTTTTAAATTTATTTTGCATGATCTTGGTATGAGTGTGTGTGTTTGTTTGTGGTTTATGTTTATAAAAGAATTGCTGAAAAGAGGGGGGGGGGGAGTCGGTTGTATTACACCGCCCCACAAAGATTCCCATTTTACTATAAATAGTAAATGGGGTTCATAAGAAAAAGGTTTTACACACTCTTGAAAGAAGGAAGTTTCCTTAACATATCATCCGGATCGGCTGAAAAGGGAAGAAGATTCAAAACTAGGACTTTTGGTTTTAAGGTGAGTGTATTATGCTTTGGGTATTAATCAATTGTCTGTATACAATTCAATTGTTATTGGAATTGGTTTATTATGAATCACATTATATATGTTGTCCGGATTCTACCTAAACCGGACAAGTGTTGTCCGGATTCAATCTAAACCAGACAAGGGGTGTCCGGGTTCATCCTAAACCGCTCAAGACTCACCCGATGTATTTTATAAACCGGTCAAGCGTCATCCGGTTTACTTCTTAAACCGGTCAAGGGTTGTCTGAGTTATTGGCTAAATCGCTCAAGACTCATCCGGATTTAAGTAGAACTTATAATCCTAAGTGTTTTGTCCGGATTTCTTATCCGGCCAGTGTCCGGATTACTTATCCGGTTGAAGTTGACCGAATTACAAGTCCAGTCAAGGTTATACCAAAATTTCATGAAATAGATTTAAAGAGAGAGATGTAATGGCGGTGTAACTGCGAGAGAGATGTAATTGCGGTGTAACCACAAGAGGGATATAATGGCGGTGTAACCGCGAGAGAGATGTAATGGCGGTGTAACCACGAGAGAGATGTAATGGCGGTGTAACCACGAGAGAGATGTAATGGCGGTGTAACCGTGAGAGAGATGTAATGGCGGTGTAACCACGAGAGAGATGTAATGGCGGTGTAACCACGAGAGAGATGTAATGGCGGTGTAACCGCGAGAGAGATGTAATGGCGGTCTAACCGCGAGAGAGATGTAATGGCGGTGTAACCGCGAGAGAGATATAATGCCCTGGCCTTTCAGATGTTAAAGGATAAGTTATGTAGTGCACCAATTCTATCCTTGCCAGATGGGATGGAAGATTTTGTGGTTTATAGTGATGCGTCAAAAATGGGTTTGGGTTGTGTACTGATGCAACGTGGAAAGGTAATTGCTTATGTTTCAAGACAGTTAAAAGATCATGAAAGACAATATCCTACACATGATATGGAATTAGCAGCTGTAGTATTCGCTTTGAAGATATGGAGGCACTACCTATACGGAACGAAATGTCAAATTTTCACAGATCATAAGAGTTTGCAACATCTGTTCCATTAGAAAGATCTGAATATGCGTCAGAGACGATGGTTGAAATTGGTTAGTGATTATGATTGTGAAATTTTGTATCATCCCGGAAAGGCAAATGTGGTAGCCGATGCTTTAAGTCGACAAGAGAAAAGTGGAACTATCAAGGCTGTAGCTCTACAAGTCGAGTTACTACCAAGTATTCAGGAAGAGTTGCAAGAATTTCAGCACAAGGCAATGAAGGAGGATAAGGTTAAACAAGAAAGATTAGGTGGATTGATATCTGAATTTGTGAAAGATGACAGAGAATTCTGGAAATTCCAGAACATAATTTGGGTACCATGCTATGGTGGTCTTAGGAAACGTATCTTGAGTGAGGCTCACAAATCACGTTTCACAATTCATCCAGGTACAAATAAAATGTGTCGGGATTTGAAGCAACATTATTGGTGGCCAGGTATGAAGAAGGATATAGCTAAGCACGTTGAACAATGCCTGACATGTCTCTAGGTAAAGATAGAACACCAACGTCCTTATGGTAAGTTGCAATCCTTAGAATTCCAGTTTGGAAATAGGATCACATCACTATGGATTTCATAACCAAACTGCCGAGGACATCAAAAGGTTATGATGCTATTTGGGTAATAATAGATCAGTTATCCAAATCTGCATATTTCTTACCGATGAAAGAATCATATTCAATGGAGATATTGGCAAAATTATACATTGATGAGGTAGTGACACGTCATGGTGTTCCTCTATCAATTGTTTCTGATAGAGATAGCCGATTCACTTCTATGTTTTGGAAGAACTTCCAAAGAGAGATGGGTTCACAGATTAAGCTAAGTACAGCTTATCACTCTCAAACGGATGGGCAAAGTGAACGAACTATCCAAACATTAGAAGATATGCTTAGAGCATGTGTAATTGATTTTGGAGGATCATGGGATAGTCATTTGGCTCTGGTGGAATTGTGTACAACAAAGTTATCATTCAAGTATTTAAGTTGAACCTTTCGAGGTTCTGTATGGACGAAAATGTCGAATTCCTTTGTGTTGGAATGAAATAGGTGAAAAACAGTTGGCTGGACTTGAATTAGTTCAGCAAACCGCAAATAAAATTGGCTTAATACGGGAACGAATGAAAGTGGCACAAGATAGACAAAGAAGTTATGCAGATAAACGTTGGAAGCCGATTGAATTCCAAGAAGGTGATAAAGTGATGTTAAAGGTATCACCTTGGAAAGGAATGGTACATTTTGGTAAAAAGGGAAAGTTGAGTCCAAGATATATTGTACCATTCCCTATCATTGGAAAGGTTGGGGAAGTGGCCTATAAGTTAGAACTTCCTTTAGAGCTAAGTGGAATTCATGATACTTTCCATGTGTCTAATTTGAGGAAGTGTCTAATAAGTCCAGATGTAGCAGTACCGCTACCTGAAATTAAGTTTGACAAAAGATTATGCTTTGAAGAAACCCCTGAACTTATTACTGACTTCAAAGTGAAGAAGTTGCGGAATAAAGAGGTTGGGTTAGTAAAGGTTCAGTGGCATTGTCAAGGGTTGTCCGGGTTATTGGCTAAATCGCTCAAGACTCATCCGGATT